GGTATTATTCTCAGTTACTGGTAAACAACCATCACCTGTGGACAACAACATTTAGTTCAGGTTTATGGGTATTATTCTCAGTTACTGGTAAACAACCATCACCTGTGGACAACAACATTTAGTTCAGGTTTATGGGTATTATTCTCAGTTACTGGTAAACAACCATCACCTGTGGGCAACAACATTTAGTTCAGGTTTATGAATATTATTCTCAGTTACTGATAAACAACCATCACCTGTGGACAACAACATTTAGATCAGGTTTATGAATATTATTCTCAGTTACTGATAAACAACCATCACCTGTGGACAACAACATTTAGTTCAGGTTTATGGGTATTATTCTCAGTTACTGGTAAACAACCATCACCTGTGGATAACAACATTTAGTTCAGGTTTATGAATATTATTCTCAGTTACTGTTAACAACCATCACCTGTGGACAACAACATTTAGTTCAGGTTTATGGGTATTATTCTCAGTTACTGGTAAACAACCATCACCTGTGGACAACAACATTTAGTTCAGGTTTATGGATATTATTAATGCAATAAATGATTTCATACCATTGGCAACTGAATGGGTTTAAAGACCATGTTGATAAATAAAAATCACAAACATACAGCTTAATGCATGTCTTTTATACGTATATAAAACCATGTGGTTTGTATTTAGGAACTTTTGATAATTAACAACTTGACAATCACTGAATCACTGTTGAAGTCAAAGTGAAGCAGTGTTAACCTCACAATAGAAAGATGTTACAAATATGGTATCAAAACCGATCAAGATGTGAAAACATACACTGCTAAGTATGAGAACAATTACTTAAATTCTGCATGACATTAACTCAATTCTTAAAGAAAAAACTGTGTCATAACAAGGCCTTTAATTGTATTTCAACATGCACATTGTTTAGTAATAAATTAACTATTGACTCATCAGGCCTAAGTAGCTTACAGAAATAAACCCTAAATTCTGTACTCTACAGGGATCAAGATTCTACAGCTGTATATTACTAAAAACAAATTCTGCCTTCAAGTCTATCATCAGACTACGAACCAGGTTCACAGCTATTCCAAGTCTATCGTCAGACCATGAACCACGTTCACAGCTATTCCAAGTCTATCGTCAGACCACGAACCACGTTCACAGCTCTTCCAAGTCTATCGTCAGACCACGAACCAGGTTCACAGCTATTCCAAGTCTATCGTCAGACCATGAACCAGGTTCACAGCTATACCAAGTCTATCGTCAGACCATGAACCAGGTTCACAGCTATTCCAAGCCTATCATCAGACCATAAACCAGGTTCACAGCTATACCAAGTCTATCGTCAGACCACAAACCAGGTTCACAGCTATTCCAAGTCTATCGTCAGACCACAAACCAGGTTCACAGCTATACCAAGTCTATTGTCAGACCATAAACCAGCTTCACAGCTATTCCAAGCCTATCATCAGACCATAAACCAGGTTCACAGCTATTCAGGAAATATTATGTGGAGAATATAATGTAGATTCACGAAATTTTATGTGAAAAATAAATTAGAGACAGCAGATAGAAGTGAATAATTGAACTTTATTCACACTAAGAGCATATATCTTTTCTTTCACTCACTGGCTGGTTACTCACATCTAATTAACTGATTGCTGGACAATAAGAGTTATGGTTTACTATTAGGAACAAGAGTTAAATTATAGTATACAAAAATTCAATTCTACATGTGTCACTGACTGTTCCAAATAACACTTACAGGAGAAAAATATCCTCAACTCATACCAATTTGTACAAGTATCTGTATCACCTCCTTAAGAGTGAAATTCCTGTTCAACATCAAACCATGATCAAAATTCAGGGTCCTTAAATTTGACTTAAAAATATGATTTTAAAGTGCAAAACTTGAGATCAAATTATTAATAAAAAAAATGCTAACTATTATTGGAAGTAGGAGTTTGTTACCCTAATTTGAAAATAATATATACTTTAATTTTAGTTATTATTTAAAAATTTACTCCATGCTTAATATTTCCAAGCTACAGTATTTTATCATCAGGGTAATCATGTTTTGTAAATAGTCTAGTAAAAGTTAATAACTTCAAAGTTTTAAGAAAAGTTAGAAGATTCTTAAGACTTACCTTTCTAACTTGTTCAACAAAACAAAGTCGACTTTCACTGATATTCCCACAACAGTTACTGTCTTGACTACCCACTGTCCAATCTGAATAAAGATTGGTTAAATTTATCAAATACTTCAACTATAGCTTGAAACTTGATAAATCATAAATTAATAAAATAACTTAAATATAACAAAAGCTCTTTTTTCCACTCTGGTGTAGAAATATGTCTTAAAAAGTTTAGAAGTTATATTACAACAATTCTATTACACTTCATTATAGACATCCTATTATGTTACTAAATTATAATCATATAATAACTCAAGTTTAGTGATTTGGGTCAAATGATAAGTTTTGTAGATAATTTTGCTTTCTTTAACATAAAATTTGACAAAACTTCAACCCTGATGTCCTTTCAGTAAAAATATGATAGGCTAAAGAAGGTTATTCACACATAATATATCATACATCTATGCACAATTAATTTCACAAACAGCTTTGGAGGTGGGGGAGGGGTCAAAAAAGGCTGACCTTGTGTTGCTCCCCAGAAACTTCCATTTAGCCCCCCCCCAAACTGATGCCCCTGAC